TTTTTTTCTTACATATCTTTGAATCGGTGAGATAAAATAGTTCAAACTCAGGTATGTCTATTTGTAACAAACATAATCAATTTGTTGTATTTATGTAATTTATGAAATACCTTTCAACAGAGAGAGAATCTAATATGCCAAAACAAGAAATGAGAAACAATTCTATTTATCAGTATATATTGTAATAAAATTTTGCATTCAAATAAGTTTCAACAAAACGGGATTAAGTCACAAATCCAAAATGACCATACAATTAGGAATGACAACAGCTCAAATATGGGACGGATTCTGCAAGCCCCATAACCCGCCTTACTAAAAAGTTATAGGTCCTAAAACCCACTTTGCCCAACCCCACCCCAAAATCCGTCCTGCCTAAACCCCTCAAGTGTAGGGCTAATCTGAAAAATCCATTTTATTTTGCAAAATATATTTATCTATGATTTTTTTCCTGCGCGTTTTATAAATTATATAATAAAATATTTTTATACTATATAGATTAAGCATTTTAAATATCAAAATGTTCAATAACAAAATTATAATTTATTTTTAATTGAAAGAATAATGAGTTGAAAAAATAATAGGCTAAAAATACAATACAACTAAAATTTATAAAAATAAAAAATAAAAACAATAAAGATGATAAAAGAATGTAAATACAAATTTAGTTAATATAAATAATATATAATATTAAAATTTATAATTATTAATTTAAGTTTGGAGAGAGTTTTTTCTTTTTTTTTTTTAATCAAAATAGTAATTCGACCCAAACTCAAATCTGTTTAAAATTTCAAGATCAGTAGCCCGCGCCAACTATAAAATCTTGAACCAAAACCCGCCTCATTAATTCCGAATCCTAGACTCGCCCCAATTGTCATCCCCGCAAGTGTCTAATAAATCGAAATCTATTAGAACTTCAAAATATTAGGCCGTGTAAGGATGAAAGTAATCCTAAAATGGATTAATCTTCCTATTATCCTGAAAAAAATAAAAACGAAAATACTAGATGACTATTGGAAGTTGTTAGAAATTTTAGGGAAAATAATGAAATTGTCTGATCATCAAATAAGGAGCCTATATATAGGCAATACAAAACAGAATCGATAAATTCAAATCTAAGTAATCTAATATATGAATAAGATCAAATCTAGATATAAATCTACTAAACCAAAAACTGAATATCTAAAATATCTCAACATCCCCTCAAACTCAAGTGGTATAACAGAAACCAACTTGAGTTTGATGAGAAATTTGAATATAAACGCAAAAAGAAAACATAAATAAAATTAGCAGTTGACTCTCCACCCACCGGAGCAAAAAATGAGATGACTCTCCACCGGAGCAAAAAACAACAGGACTCTACCGGAGCCGAAAACGAGATGACTCCACCGGAGCCGAAAACGAGATGACTCCACTGGAGCAAAAAACGATATGACTCCACCGGAGCAAAAAAACGACAGGACTCCACCGGAGCCGAAAACGAGATGACTCCACCGGAGCCGAAAACGAGATGACTCCACCGGAGCCGAAAACGAGATGACTCAACCGGAGCCGAAAACGATATGACTCCACCGGAGCAAAAAAATGACATGACTCCACCAGAGCCGAAAAACGACATGACTCCACCGGAGCCGAAAACAACATGACTCCACCGGAGCCTAAAATGAGATGACTCTTTACGGAGCCGAAAACACGACATAACTCCACCGAAGGCGAAAAACAAATAGATCGCAACACTAAACAGATCGCACGCAAACAATAGACAAGCAATGGATATATGGCAGATCGTAGACAGATTTCCGGCAACAAACAAGCAAGAAAGATGGTAGATCGCACGACAGACAACAGACAGGCAACGACATATGGCAGATCGCATGCATGAACAGATAGACAACGGACATATAGCAGATCGTTCGCAGGCAACAGACAAGTAGCGAAGATTTCAGATTGCACACAGGCAACAGACAAGCAGCGGACAGATGACAGATCGGAGACGAAACGAGACAGATTTGCAAAAAGATAACTTGCAAAGACATGATCTCAAAATCACAAAACCTCCGGTACAATCCATGTTGAATGTACCCGGAGAAACACGGGTTGGTAGGCTATATCTACGGCATGAGAAAAATAGGCTCTTAGACCATCTCCAACCCATTCCATCATTTTTGCAGTAGCTACAGTAAAAATCAAGTTGATCTACAGTAATCTTACTCCAACCGTAAACTTCAATTTTTCATTCTAAAAAGTATATTCTATATATATTTCTCTTTTATATTATTTTACATAATTTTTTATATTTATAAATTACACCCCAATTTTAATTTATTTTTACAATATAACCCAAATACATATAATTACACATTATTTTTAAAAAACTATATAATTATATATCACTTTTTGAAAGGTAAAATTATATATCACTTTTAAAAAAAATAAAATTATATATTATTTTTAAAAAATAAAATTATATCACTTTTCAAAAAATAAAATTATACATAATTTTTCAAAAAAATAAAATTACACAATATATCGAAAAAAAAATAATAAAATTACACAAATACCACAAAACACAACACAAACTCCACTGCAAAAATGGGGGTTGCCCTTATACCATGTTAAAAATTTTGGGGGAAAATAATGAGATTGTCTTATTGATCATCAAAATAAGGAGTCTATGTATAGACAATAATGGACTCAAATCTAAGTAATCTAATATATGAATAAGATCAAATCTAGATATAAATTTACTAAATCAAAAACTAAATATCTAAAATATCTCCAAGTACTGAATATCTAATATATTTCAAAACATAAGTAATAAGAATGGATAGGAAAAGACAGCCTCATCGATCATCATAGTGGGCGTTTGTATGTATGTATATGTACGTATCTGTCGTACGTTAGCTGCGTTTGCAATAATATTCCTATTACTAGCAAGTGGTCAATTTCAATTCCAATTTAGTGTAAATTCACTGTACAAATTTCGGCTCTAAAGGGCGTATAATTCGACGAAGACTTTGATTTCGTTGTCAACTTGACTTTGAGGTCAAAACACCAACACATAATACAATATTTATTATATTTATTTATTTTATATTATGTGTGTAAAAGGGGAAACTCTTCCGAAAAAATTAACAGAAATGGTTGGCGGGATAAACCCGAAAAAGTCACGTTAGGCGAACTAGGTGTGACACGAGACATGATTCAGATATTTAATTATTTTATAGATATATAGCATAATATAGTAGTATATAGTCTGAATGGTGCTGATTTTACTGAAGCAGAATATATTATAAAGATCGATCGATATATTTATAATACATCATATACTATATTATTATAATTCAACATATGTTTATATTATAACACAATATATGCTGAGATATATATACTAATACGGTCAAATCACAGTATCTGCAATCATAAGGTCTAGTTTACTCTTGAGGTTAGATATTAAACAAATAAGAACAATAAAATAAAACATGAAAACTTTTGATATTTAATTAGGAAATATTTTTACTAAAACAAATAAGAAAAAAAAATATATAGATATTTTAACACCGCGGCATGTTAAGTCTTCGCTTGATTAGGGTCTTTGCTCGACATTGCTAGATTTTGCTCGATGCTTCTAGACCTTGCTTGATGTTGTTGGACTTTCTATTGACATCAGTTAGACCTTTGCTTTTGGGTCGATCATCGAACTTTGGGACTTCTCTATTGAGTCGAGTTGTGATTATTTTTATTACTTGAGACTTCATTCATGTAATAATATTGATTTAATGTTCTTACAATAGAATGAGTACATAATTAAAATTCTGAAAAAAAAAACCCAAAGTAAACATAAAAAGTGTGTTTGTTTGTCAGATTTTAATTTTGATTTTGAGTTTGGATTTTGAAGAATAAAATTTTAAATTTAAATAGTTTTTTTATATGTATAAATATGTATTTATGTAAAACAAATTTAATATAAATTTATATATTATTATAATATAATAAAAAAATTTATTTGACTTAATATTTTAAGAAATTTTTTTGAAATAATAAAAAAAATTAATTCAAATTCTCACTAACAAACACACACGTATTTATGAATTTGTTGTTGTTTGTTATTACTAATGATAAAAATATTTATTTTATTTTATTTAATTATTCTATAAAAAATAATATATATTTTTTTTATTTTCATTTAAAAATATATGCATGAAAAATAATAAAAATTTAAATCAAACACACTATTATACATACAAATAAATAAATCAATTGAGGTCGAATATAAATATACTCCGTTCTACATTCGTATAAAAAATTGAAAACATAATTTTTTAAGAAATATATATTTAAATTATAAAAAATAATTATTTTAATTTAAAATTTTATTATTTATTAATTAATAAAAAACGACAAAAGACAGCCATAGAAATTCACTAGAAATTCATTAAACCATTACCATTTGACTAGGGACACCGTAGAATGTTTAATTAGTTAATAATAATTAGTTATGATATTATTATATTATTTTTTTGTATAATTAATAATATCTATATTTTAAAAGTAAATTTAATATATATTATTAAAAATTAAAATATGTTTAAATATTTAAAAATTATATAGCAATTAAAAAATATATGCAATATGGATATCATTTTGTAGAATATAAAATTTTCTATTATACAAGTAAATAAAAAAATATATTTGTTTATTTATAATTAACGTAAATCAATTTTATAAAAGATGTGTAGTTTTAAATATAGATAGAAATATTTTTTTTTTTTAAGAGAGATGTAGAAATAAAGGGGTTTTAAATGAGTCATTCGTCATAAATCATTTATGATGTTGTATATTATGTAGTTAATTAAGTTGATTTATATTTGTTAAATATGTTTTGATTTAATAATTTTTACCAATAATAGAAAGATATCAATTGTTACGAACAGATAAAAATAAAAATAGTGTGAATTGTGGTGGGACGGAGCAAAACTATCTTAAAAAACACACTCAGACAATATTCAAACATGACATTAAGGCTAGCATTCGACGATGGCGAGGTTACACGGATTGCCGAGGGAATAGAGATGTATGACATCCCTATAAAATCGGGAATTTAATCAGACTGACGGGAAGAACTTGTTGAGATTTAAAGGTAAAGAGTAGAACTCTTCGCTTCGAGTATCGGTCTTGTAAGACCGAAACTTGTCCCACCAATGCATCCCCCTGTCCTTCCTCGTCGTGCTGTCCTTAGGAGGCACCGTGACATCCATAACGAGCGCCACAACCCCGGCCACAAAGGCCTTCGACGAAAAGGGAACATTGATCATATCGTTAAACTGCTCGATCAAATTAGCCAACATTAATCAAACGATCGATCCAACACATGCATACACTACAAATGAATCAACGAAATTCTTACCCATCGGGCGTGCGTGTGGACAGGCGCGTAACCCTTTATCGAGAGATACTCGTTGAAGTACTGTGGCACCGATAGCCCCATAAAGATCGAGAATGCAAGAATAAACTTTGTCCTAAAGCTATTCATGTTGCAAAATTGAAGGTATCCGAGTCCTCCAACACCTACATTGCATCGTTACGACATATGTTTAGAATCTTCTAGCATCTTCTAAAACATTCTAGAATCTTCTAGTATCAAGAGGATATGTCATACCAACATACGCGAACAAAAGACAATAGAGAGCAGCCACAATTGGTGCAGGGATAGAAGCAAATACTGCTCCAAACTTCCCTGAAAGTATATTACTGTTGATGAATAGTGTAAAAAATTATTTAAAAATACACGTAGACAAAATAACGTAAAAATGCTTGCCGAGTATTGAGAAAAATATCATGAATCCCGCCGATATTTGTATCACTCTACGGCTACCAACTCGCGTAAGTCCCAACAATCCGGCGTTTTCGCTGCACAAGAAACGACAAAAAATAATCTGAAAATGGATTCGAGCTTTTTTGTCCAGAGGTGAAGGAAGATTCATCTTACACAGAGACAGATGATCCTGTCCCGGTCCCGAAAATTCCCGAGAACAGTATGGCCACACCCTTGTAAGAACCAACATCAAAGGTTGTCTATGATCATTACATTTTTCGACGAAAACCAGAAGTGATCGAGAGTCATCGTACGTACCTGCCAGCCGACTCCGCGGCTTAGGACAGAATGCGGGGTGGGAGTCGCACTAGCGTATCGCGCCACAGCAATGAAAGCACCTGTGGACTAATCGAACATCGACAAAAGATTATTGTTTTGCGAAACGAAACTTATTTAGTCAACAGAGGTTTAAGGATGTTCCGGTTCGTTTGTAAGAACCTCGACGAGAGTGACGAAGGTAGTCGCCATCATGGCGAAGGATTCCCCGGCGTCAAACGATGGAGCGCCCCATTGAAACGGATAAGGGACTCGAATCCTGCAAGAGGTTTCGAAGAAGATAGCAACCGTAAAAAATTCGAATGTTGTCCAAGACAGGACATACAATTCATCTTGTCTGATTCTCACCAAGGCGCCGCGCCAATAATACCGGCACGATCAGTTCTACATGACAGCTGAGTTGTCTGCCCCGTGTTCTTGTACGCTCCCCCGACAGTCAGCAAGTGAGCGTAGATCCAAACGATAACAACAGTGAACAGCACCGCGAATCTGTCGAAGACATTCCTCCCGCCCTTCATTACATACGGAAGATACTAATACAGGGGCAACATTAGTTAACGTTAGAAACTCCGAAAAACAGACAACCTTAAAACTCCCCGAGATAATATGAAACTGCACCTGCGAAAAGATCACGAGCAAGATAAGCTGAGGCAGCCCGATCTCGATACATTTAGCGAGCTGGCATTGTCGACAACAAGTGAAAGTGATTAGCGTCGAGCAGACATCTCGAGCGAAAGCTGTCTTAAAAGATCGGTGTAAGGACTACCAGAGGAAAGCCTAATTCGTACAAACCGAACCCTGTAAGAGCCACCAGTGGAGCTGTCGAAAGAGGGCTCATAAACCTGGTGACATTGCGCCATAAACCGCTAAATCCGATGACAATCTGAAGTGTCGACGCCACGATCATCGCGCCTTGAATCGCCTTCATGATCTTCCTAAATTTCTGTAAAAATTCCGGGATCAGATGGAAGAAACTAATACTTACAACAGGGATTATTACAAGATCCTCTGAGGTCTGATTCTTTAACCTCTTGAGGATCCAAAACATCGCTGTATCGACCCGCCAAGACAATTGAAAGAGTCGCGGGGACGAATGTGTAAGAGCCTCCTACGACTGCCGGAAGACGAGTGCCAAAGAGTGTCTGAGTTAATGTGTTAAGACCAGCAACAAACTGCAGTGTCTGAATCATTAGAGCTTTCTCTACCTAACAAATGAAAACAGGGGAAATGAATTATCTTTTTATTACATGATGATCATCTAACATCTTCGACGAAAATTAATATCGTATAAATCGAATGTGACGACGACTAACTTTTCCGCCTCCCATTTGAGGAGCTAGAAGGGAAGGTATCATAACGGTTGTCCCGAGCATGACAAGATAGTGTTGGAATCCAAGCAGTATAGCCTCAGCTGATACATTCATTCGAAAAAACATCGATATATCAAATCGAGCAAAAAAATTAAAGTAAGGCATTGCAAGAACAGAACAAGAAATCTCCCTTAACATGCAATGAAAAAGACACATTCAACATCAAGACATAAAGGATCGAACATGTGTAAGAAAATTTAAATTGAAGTACTAACGCCATGGCGGGGGGCTGGTTATGCAGTAAGAAACTCCGGGGAGCTGATCTTTCACCGGATGTGGCTGAAGTTCATCTTGTTTCGGCGGCGGTGCCGCCGCTCCACCTCCGGCCATTAATGTTTGCAATTAACTAAAAATTGCAGAGGTTAAGGATTCAAAACTATGGAGTGAAAGGGGAAAGTGATGTAAGAATGCTGCAGTACAGAAATAAAAGCTTAAAAGTTAAAAACCCTCTTGAAGAAATCAAATAAAGCAAGAAAAAGAATGAAGAGAGTAAAGGGAGTTTAGAAAAAAAAAAAAAAAAGTGGGAATTAAAACCAAGAAATTAAACTATATGCCTTCCCAGGACAGAATCTCTAATTCAAAATGCAGAAAGAATATAATAATTATTATTATATTTTTACACTGCCTATGCATATATTTTTCTTTTGGTTATCTTCTTGTTAAAGATAAAGGTGTACAGCATCTGCAACTTTTTTCCTTAATGCATGCATGCCATGCATGCATAGTGAGACTTGTACTTTGTGCTTTAGCTAGTTGTACCTGGGGAAAACAAAATTCGAATCTAATTTGGATGGTTCAATTTTGATATTCCTTGCTTCACATATACACTTCACCAACTTCTGTTTTTTTAAATTAGCATTTCAAGAAAATTCCAATATGGGGAATCAAAAACGATGAGCTCTACCTGGACGTAGAAGTATTTATATAAAGAGAAGAATTACCTAAAATTAAAAGATACTTAGCTGCCTGACTATATAAGTTTGTATGAATATATATATATATATGTGTGTGTGTGCTCACTTAGGCCTGTGAATTAATTATCTGACAATTAATTATATTAATTAAATATATAACAGATGCAATAATCTTCGTTACTTTTTCTGGAAATTAACAAATTAAATTACTGACCAATTAATCGACAGCTTCGTTCTTAATGTCGTCGAGACTGATGGGTTGCTTCTCACGAAAGCCTTACAAAACTCAAAATTGCACTTCACACCTAAGAGAGAGACAGAAGGAGAGAGAGAGAGAGAGGTGTAGAGTGTAGTGAGGGAGAGAGACAGAAGGAGAGAGAGAGAGAGAGGTGTAGAGTGTAGTGAGGGAGGGTGTCTTTATTTATAAACCTCCCGAGATTTGCAGGTTTAAGAAGAAGAGGGTTTGCTTCTTTAACCTCAAATTTAAAATTTTTATTATTTAGACTCTGTATCTTTAGAAAAAAAAAAAGAAAAAAATTTCTCTCATAAAATATCATCATACATTATATATTAATACCAAATTCAAACTAAAATTTTTCAAACTACATCAAAAAAATATATATATATACCAAAAGATAACAAAATTAATGAACAATATATGTATATGTGTGTGAAATATGGGAACTAAAAACGTATATTTAATAGTATAAAATATTACTTTTATCTTATCGACACATTTCTTATATCTTCTGATTCTTATATTAAGTATGTATATTGTTTAGAAATAATAATTAACATCAAATTAGTGCTAGCTAATTTGACCTAAATATAATTAGACATACAACACATATGTGATAACACATGATATAATAATATATATTTTAGCAGCACATAATATAATTTTACATAAAACAATACTATATTATTGATTTTAGCATAATAAATATGTTTAACCAATACAATACATATATAAAACTTCACGGCATATGCTTCTATATTATACAAAATTGTTCTGTGTTATATAGAACATGCTTTTTATTTAACATTGATTATGTGTGTTATTTGAGTCAAATTAGCATAATAGTCATTTAACCCAATAGCATCAAAATTTCTTTCTTTTTATTTTTTATTTTTTATTTTTATTTTTATCATTTACATGCAACATTGGTATATAAGATCAATACGTATCGAAAAGATGTCAAGGGTTTTAAACCTATCTAATTTATTATACATGTTTTAATGATATATATTTGTTGCATAATATAAGTTTAAAACAAATAAAAAATTATTTCACATATATATGCATATCTTTACGAGGAAGGATCATGTGCTGATGTTATAGTATAATTCAACATTGCTGAATGATATCTTAACCATTCATTATAATCTAACGACTGTAATTAGTCAATGGTACTTTAGTCTTTTCATTCCATTACTTTCTTCTCCTTTGTTTGTAATCCTTGTGCGCTTAATCGATTCTTGCCCTTTTTGCAATCCTTGTGCGCTGAATCGATTCATTGCCTTTATCATTCAAATTCTCACAACCGGCGAGTCCTCTGCTGCGAATCCAACATCAAACTCTCAATCTGATTCTGTTATGAGCCCTAGACATTTTGATTCAAAATTTCTTGCTGCGAACTCTCTCGGCCAACACTTCGATTCAGATTTCTCGCTCAGACTCAGGTTGTGTAATTTGTATAATGTGTTTCTTGTGTTTTCTAATGTGTTTCAATCTTAAGAAAATTTGGAAACTAAGTTTGAGTATCTGAGTAACAAACTCAAAGCAACAACTAACAAAAATATATAACATTTAGACAGATAGTCCCATCATTGGTCTTGAGATGTATAATTTATGTTCCATCTATTGATTCAACTGAAACTTCATCCATATGATGCATTGGAAGTCCATTCTTACATTGAAATTCATCAATGCGAATTAATTGTGGCTTTTCCTATCAACACAAGTCACCAACATTGATATTAAAATTTTCTTATTAGTGCACAAATATGTAAAATTTAGATAGAAGAACTATTAGCTATAAATCAACATTCAAATTTCATTTATTTGGGGCATGACAACAGGCAGACAGATCTTCCTCAATCGCTATAACCAATTTCACGAGCTTACCAGCAAATTTTCCTTTTTGCCATTCAAATTAAACCTCTCCTCAACCCCCAATCCTAAACCCCAACACACATGTATTCAATTAATCCCTTACCTGCCTTGCCTTGCCTTCTTTTTCCCCAAATTTATGTATATAATTTACCGTAATTTACTTATTTGAGTTGTATAATTCAATTAATATTTCATAGTGAATTGCATTGAACTCGAATACTAGAAAGATTACAAAGATATGAAAAAACAGCTATATTGCAGCTACCTAGATATTACAACAGATTAGTGAAATTGGAATGTAATTTGCAATGGAAAAAATTAGGGCAGAAATAGAAACTTTAAGAAAAGGAAGATGAAATAATACAAGAAAATATTCAAGTGAAGCTTTTTCGACAAGGCAAAATGCAATCGCAGTTCATTGGTGTCGAAGATCTCTTCTTCTTCTTCACCGTTTTAGTCTGAGTATCTGTGAATTGAAAGCGATTAGAAGCTTTTAGTATAATATATGATTTATTATAAAATTACATTATTACCCTTCAATTAAATCTCCACCATTAAAAATTAAATACAATTAATGGTGGAGATTAATTTTAGCATTGCTGAAATTAAGGTAATCAGCACCGGATACGAGTCCTATCTTTATCAATGTTTTCAATGTGACATGCAATAATAATGCCAATTTACCTTTGGTGGGTGAGGATCTCGTTCTCGTTATCAATGTTTTCAATGTGTGAAATAATTACGTAGCCAAATACTGCCGATACAATGGGACAAAAGTATCCGAGATTGAGCATGTGATGTTTCTCTTCTTCTAGTTAAATAGGTATATGTGTTATATTGCCTTTTTTTAAGTGCGTCGTATTCACACACTTAGATTTAGTCATTCATTAGCTTCACGATATTATCTAGCTTAGGACAACTTTTTCTTAGTCAACTTTTTCGAAGGCGTACCCAAAACTAGCAAGATTACAAACTAGACGCAGCTGTGTTGGGTCCATTTTGGTTTTTAAAACTTTGGTTTCGATTATACTTTTTTCACCTATTCTATGGCTGCCCCCTAATTATATTGATCCTAGCCATATGTTAGATTTGACTCTCCTTCGTCTTTGCACCAAAAGAAATGATTTCCGCAACTCTCTTATTGCTATTTAAGAGATCTTAGAATTTGTCCGCTCCAATCGCGAGATTTCTTTTGGTACCATTTCCTAGTCGCGTATACCTCATCTAATTCGACGTCGTTTTGCATTGATAGGGAAATCTCAAGTATAGGCACATAGAGTTCTTGCATTCCACATTCCCATCGTTTTGCATTGATAGGGAAATCTCAAGTATAGTCACATAGAATTCTTGCATTCCACATTCCCTTCTTGTAGGATTCCACTAGAAAAGAAAAAATTGAACTGTCAAATTCTTGTAAATCAAGTTGTAAAATATTTTTCATATATGTATATATATAAAATAGAGCCAGGAGATATATTCAGCATTTATCCACTAATGAATATCGAAGAAAATTAATTATATATTTTTGAAATCAGATTAATAGTGATAGAGTAGTGAACAAACATGCTTACATAGAACAATTAAATAATTAGCAATTTAGCACATATTAATAATATTAATACAATACTAAAGACAAGGTAAGCGAAGAGGTCACATCAATTCCATCCATGTCTGAAAAGCCATTTTGATTTAGTTGCTCGATCTGCTCACGCATTAGTCAATTAATTAATATAATCAATCCACCCTATGTGCATTATCCACATTTCCATTCCCTCTTTACTACATATATATAATTAATTCCCAATGGAGGATTATCTCATCGATCAATATGTATATATATCTTCTTCCCACATTGTCTGGCCTCAACTTAAATATATAACTAGTAGGTATTATTAGGTCTACTTTATTTATTTATTTATCTCCTCCTGTGTAGCCATCTATTCGGAATCCACTCGCCTTTTGACTCTTTGATGGCGTTTCGAAAATTTTGGTAGAAATTTAAGATTTTGAGACACCCTATGTATCTATATATCTATATATATATATTCTTTAATAAATAAATTAATTAATTAATTTTACCTTTATCCTTTAATCAATTAATTAATTTTACCTTTGCCTACGCTTTTCCTTTTTGGTATATATATATATATATATATATGTTTGATTTTAGACCAAACGCGATGAAGGGAAACAACTGTAAATGTGTTCTTGCCGGGATAAAAAAGATAGTTTAAAGTTAAAGTTGGTTTTTTTAATTAGGTCGGCGTCGAAGAAGTTTCTTGGATATGATTTAATTCCAGCTACATAAAGCCTAAAGGGTATGTTCTTTTGTGATTTTGCTTGTATAAAAAAGAAGAAGAAGAAGAAGAAAGCACAAGTATATTACTTGGGTTTGCTCTTATGTCAACTATTTTTTTTTTTTTTATATCTAGTATTTTTCGATAAAAATATTTTTTAAATATTAAATCACATTACTATTTAAATAAAAAATAAATAGATAAAAAATAAAAATAAAATTACAAACCAAAACACAACTTATGTTTTAATTTTAATTGAGTAGAGAGAACAAACACAAAGACTTACATCGTCATCAGGTTATGACTTCATGTTCAATTTGCTGACTAAATTATGATTTATTACTTCTCCATAATGAGTATGATGATCGATCGACCTTCATGCATGCTGTATATCTAAGAAATGTTGGAGATGCAACCATGGCTATTAATTTAATAATAATAATAATAATAATAATAATAATAATAATAATAATAATAATAATAATCCTTTATTTATATGTACATTTCGATTTATAGAGTTGTTTGATAATATATGTGGACCACATGTTTATTTATATTTATATATATGTCATGAATCACTCTCGACATATATATATATATATGTAGGCTATTTATTCCATCGTCGTCATTTATTTGACACTCGATGCTTGAAAAGTACTCATGAAAAATATATATATATATATGTGTAACCTAGCTAGCTATGCATATATATTATGTATTTTTTGGCATATTTGACACCGTTAAACAATGAATCTTCATGCATAAATAAATTTGTCGTACTATTTCTTGCATTCGTTAGGCCAAATATTTGGAAAATGTGAAGTCCTAGATTTTATAGTTGCCAAATTTTCGCGAAAGGTAATCTCCCAAAAAGTTTTGTTGGGAGAATAGGTGTTGTATCAAATCACCTTCGAACACTTATTCAAGGGCCAATTCTCGAAGCGTAGTTATCACAGTTATAGCACCCTACTGCCAACTAAATGCATGCATAAATACAAATCAGTAAACGAGATAAGGTTTGTTTACCTGGTTTGGATATAAACAATCATATATCCGGGGATACCAATACGAGAGAAGTTCACTAATCAGTGCTGACTATGAACAAAGACAACTACAGCTCCTTCAACTGTCCTAGCATGGCTAACCTTGGAAATTCCCTCGGCTTATGTTGTCACAAACTCGTGCTGACAACGACCACGGAGTAGAGCTGCTCAGAATTTGGACGTCTCCCCTGATCGGAACTCTGATTTTTTCTTCCTCCAACGAGGTCTCCGGCGGATATAAGTGTCTAACACTCACTCAATACGTCAGAAGAAGAGGGTTGGGGTTTAGAATATTGAACACACTTTCTCTCACTATACTCCACTATCAAAACCCACACAACAACTCTCTCACTCCACACTCCAAAAATAGATTGAAGGATTTCTTGTTCCAACAAGTTTCTCACAGCGCAAGTTAAAACAAAATGTATTGGAAGAAGATCAAGATTGGTTGAGATGTTATATATATACTCATATTTTCGAAAGAAGTATTATTAATTAAGAAAACATATTAGTTAAAATGCCTGACTTTATCAAATTCTCATCTTTTGTAGGATGTTTTTACCAATTTTCTAGATATGAGATTTCAAACAATCGGTTTAATGAGCCGTTTGAAAAATGCATACAAAGATAAATAGTCCCAAACATTTCAAAGGGTGATAAATATTTTATAAGAGGAAAATGAGCGAGATTTAGAGCAGTCAAAATGGGTTAAGAGGGTTGGATTGTAATTTTTTAAGTTGTTAAAATGCGGGCCTAAACGGGCCAACCCTAGTGAGCAGTTGGTTGAGAGTGGATTAGCCTGTAGTGGGGCGGGTTAGCCCGCGGCCAAATAAATATAATATTAGCACTCATTCATTCGTCTCAACTAAATGTATTTTTTTTACTGTCACATTTAAAAATTATAATATAAGTAGTCAAATATTAACATCAAAGTTATTTTAATTTTATTTAAATTACAAATATACCATTATAAATACAATTAATTTATAAATAACGTACAAAGAGTAAAAAAAATATCAAAATCATCTTGTGCACTTTATTTAATAAATAACATATTATTATTTTTAATCTATGAAAATAGATATTTTTAGTTAAGATAAATAATATAAAATTTATATTATCATTAACTTAAATAAATTAATGAATATTATCTACATATTGCTTTTCTTTTTTATCTTATTTATTTCGATTTTTCACCATTTGTTTTGTTCGTCTTCCATTTTATTATTTTATAATTATTTTTATTCTAGAATCTATTCACAAATTCATAAAATTAATTATGATTTATTTTAAAAATAGTTCTTATTATTATTTTTTAAATTCATTAACTTATACTAATATTTAGAATTGAAAATTTTTATATTTGTTGTTTATTTTAAAATATTTATTATTTAAATTCTATAATATAACTATTTTTTAGCTATTTTTAAATATTAATTACAAAAAATATTAATAATATTAATATTTTTAAAAAGCCCATGGGCTAGCCCGCTTAGCTCGCCACACGCAGGTGGATTAGGTTGGATTGATGAAAGTTTGATTCGCTCCGCCGCGACTTGGTCCGCAATCAACCCGCTTATTTGCGAGTTATAATGGATTGTGGATCAATCCGTCGCACTAACATGCAGTGAGATTAAGGGTTAATTGCCAAAAGTATATTAGTATTTATTTATTTTTGTGTTATAAGATGAAATTGTTGATGGTGTATAAGCTGATCTGCTTCTTAAATCTACATATAGACCAGACCAGACAAATTATTCAAACTTCATACTTCTCTTTGCTTGCCTAACTTTTTCTCCCACTTGCTCACAATGAAATCATCTGTCTGCATCGTCATTTTCATTAATGAAAGTTGTTTCTTAACAATTTTTTTTAAATGAAAAATAAAATAAAATAATATTTTCCAGGCTGACGTCCAGTTGTTTGGCTTGGTTACTGATACTATAAATAAATATGCTCCTAAGGTTCAAGCCTTCGTCATAAGCAATCCAACGAACAAAACAAAAAAAACTTGCTTTTGCCATTGGAGGTATGGTTTGCTCTTACATTTAGTTGTTAAGATTAGAGGATAGAAGAAAATGGATTAATTGTAATAATGGATTGGTTCGATTTAGTACCATGTTATGCTTTCAGGTGTATATCTTATCTTGTTTCTTGTTCAGGCGATGCAGACCGACGACAAGCTCCCGAATGAATCATCCATACCGCCGTTGATCATAGCAATAATTTCAAATGAAGTTGCAGGTTTCGACAAAGAGCGCGATGATTCGAAGTCTGATCAGATCAAATCAGCATCATGCATTCGTCCTATCAGCATTTCCTCGGTTAGTTCTATTGAAAAACTATATATAACATATTATTATCAATATAAAATTTAAATTTTTAAGTAAAATAATCATTTAATAAGTTCTATTGAACAACTATATATAACATATAATAATCAATATATATTTAAATTTCTAAGTGAAATAGTCATTTAACAAATGAACTACAAATTTTTTGATTTGAACATGTCTTGTATATATATACTAATTTTTGTTACCTTATTTACCCCTGTCGTGTTTCGTCCACATCAGTCATCGGAGACGCATTCAGTGTCCATCAGCATGCCGTCGTCGCCGGCCGAGGCCGCGGCTCGATCACACCACGGAAACAGAGTTTTCTTCAAAGATGAAGATGGCAATGGTCGGGAAACAGCTAAACCGAAAGACAAACGATTCGACAATTTCAAGACATGGTCGGGAAAGCTCGAGCGACAACTCTCCAATTTACGCGGCAAACATGTCGCCGAGCCCCCCGAAGAAGAAGAAGATCGACAAGATCATCAAACTCATACGCCCCCCGATTTCGACAGATTGCCCGCGGATCGCTACTTCGCCGCTTTAGAAGGCCCCGAATTAGACACACTACGGGTGCGCGAGCGCCGTACTTATTATTTCTCATCGTATATTTCCTTTATAAGATCTTTCATCACACGATCGAACCGGTTTTTTTCAGGCGTCGGAGGAAATAATCCTTCCGAAGGACGAGAAATGGCCTTTCCTACTACGATTTCCGATATCCTCCTTCGGAATATGTCTCGGCCTCAGCAGCCAAGCGATCATGTGGAAGTCGCTAGCGTCATCGGATTCGACAAAGTTCCTCAACATCGGCCATGGCATAAATCTAGTGCTCTGGTTCGTCTCTATTGCCCTCGTCTCTGTCGTCGCTATTACATATACTTTCAAGATAATATTCTACTTCGAAGCCGTTCGTCGCGAGTACTACCACCCGATCCGTGTCAACTTTTTTTTTGCCCCGTTCATCGCGCTTTTGTTCTTAGCGCTCGGAGTTCCTCCGTCGGTGTCCCCGGCATTGCCCCCGCCGCTTTGGTATGTTCTCATGGCCCCGTTTCTTTGCCTCGAGCTTAAAATTTACGGACAATGGATGTCCGGGGGACAACGGAGACTATCTAAGGTTGCGAATCCTTCGAACCATCTTGCCGTCGTTGGGAACTTCGTGGGGGCTTTGCTCGGGGCGTCGATGGGGCTAAAAGAAGGCCCGATTTTCTTCTTCGCCGTCGGTTTGGCTCATTACATCGTGTTGTTTGTAACACTTTATCAAAGGCTTCCGACCAACGAGACGCTTCCGAGAGAACTCCACCCGGTTTTTTTTCTTTTCGTCGCTGCGCCGAATGCCGCGGCGCTCGCTTGGGCGACGATTCATCGGTCATTCGATTACGGTTCCCGCATCGCTTTCTTCATTTCCTTGTTCCTATATTTCTCACTGGTTAGTTCTCCCTGACCACCAGCATTCAAAATATTATATTCAATATTTATTTATCAATAATAATTTCTTATATTTAGAAAATTGTTCTAAAGTATGATTTTTTATTTTTTTTTCCAGGCCGTTCGGGTTAATTTTTTCCGAGGATTCAAGTATGCATCAATATTATTACATTAATAAAACGCAATCCTTTACATTGCATCTAAGTTCGATCTAAAATTAAGGTCAACCTGATTTTGTTACAGGTTCTCGCTAGCATGGTGGGCATACACTTTCCCGATGACGGCCGCGGCCATTACAACAATAAGATACGCGAGTGTGGCGCCGAGCATAGTGACTAAATGTCTAGTCGTCGCCCTTTCCACCGTGGCTATACTTACCGTTGGAGCATTGCTCGTTACTACAATCATCCATGCCTTTGTGCTTAAAGACCTATTCCCGAATGATATTGCCATCGCCATTAGAGAGAGGAGACCCAAAAAATCGCGAAAATGGTATTATAGGAACTCGGGTAGCCCCGATGCAAGCATACTACGGTACCTTAAGTACACAAGTTCAGACAGCAGCGACATCTTCGACGATAAAAAACTTCCAAGCCTCGGTGACCAAGACGAACCCGATCATTGTGCCAAGGTCGTCGAACCATGAAACTTTTTTTTTTTTTTTTTTTCGATCCCCATTATTTTTTAGGGACACGTTAAACTCTATGTGGTAATTATAGAATGAGGTTGAGAACGTTTTTAATCATCTCATAGTTGATTTGATGTAATATAATACGTATTTTACTATAACAAAACATCGTATCGAATACTATTAAAACAAAAATTCTAAGTCTCCAAACTCAACATGAACTTAAAAAGAAATACAAACTTTGTTTTATTAGATATCATTTTAAAATTTTTATTATTAACTTTAAAAAATTCTTTATAAAAATTTATTATTTTATCTCCGTAAAATATTATATTCAATCATCGAACATAAAATACATATACTAATTACATACTATACATACACTACTTAGTAACATTTCTATGCAACAATCAAGTGAGATAAAGCTAACTACATCATTACAATAAAAATAATTATTATATTAAAATTAAAACAGTTAATAAATTTAATTAAAATTAAAAATATTTAAATTAAAATGTAATTAAAATATATAATTTTTTTTTTAGAAAATGGGATTAAATATAATAGTAATTATAAGATAAGATACATAACAAGATTATGAAGTAGGCTATAATGTTTTTTTGCATGTATAAAGGCATTATTATTACTAGCATTATGAATTCAAAACACTGTTTAAAGCCAATAAATGCAATTAAATTATTAATAGTAATCAAATTCAATGTACTCAAAGAGCATGATTTTTTCTTGATTGATTTAAGCCATGCAATGTGATATCTTTTTAGGACTAAATAGTGTAGAATAGGAACATAGCCTAAAGAAAAGTTGCACCCATATATACCCAGCCGTTCGTAAACTCGGCTCGATTCGACTCGATTCGGTTCGATTAAAGCTCATTCGCGAACGTTAACAAGTCGAATCGAACAACATAAACAGAGTCGTTTGGTTAATGAATGAGCCCGAGCTTTGTTCGCGAACGTTTGCGAACGTTCGTTTAAATAATATATTTATTATAAATATTATATATACATATAAAATTATAATTTATAAATAAATAAAATATTAATATAAAATATATAAATAAAATAATTTTAAATTTCTTTATGATTTATATATAAATTTAAAAAAATAAGACAAACGAGTTCGAACGAACTTAATCGAGCCGAACATGAACACGAACTCAAACAACAAAAATTCTTAACGAGCCAAGCTCGAACACTACAAACGAGATCGAAAGTTTAACGAACGAACACGAGTCTTGTTTGCGAACGTTAATGAACACTTGAAATTTGGCTCGACTCGGCTCGACTCAGATCAGATCGTTAACTGCTATATATATATATATATATATATATATAAATCTTCATGAAATTATTGGCTATAATATTATGTATAATTAATGTAAGTATTCTTCTTTCTCCACAGCCTTGGAATTAGTGGAGGTTAGGTTAGGTTAGGTTTGGTACCTATTTTGTGTGTGTATATACATATTTGAAAATTTTGTGTTGTTGGAATTTTGGATTATGATATTTTAGGATAAAAATAAATAAATAGTATCAAAAGTCCAAAATTATTGTCATGGAACAAAGCTTGAATTTTGGGTTTGTATTATTTGAGGTGATAGAAATAATATAGCCCAATATGCTGGGGGACATCTTTTGTTAGTATATTGGGCTGCAGCCCAAAAGAAGAAAAGTAATAATTAATTTATTTTTTTTTTAATGTGTGATATAGAAAATTGTATCCAAATGATAAAATATACTATTATTTTTAGTTAAATATTTGATTTATTGTAATGAATATTTTAAAAATAAAATTTACTTTTTTATTTTTGTAAAAAGTATTTTATTTTATTTATTATTATTTTTAAAAAATCACAGTTGAAAAATATTGTTAAGAGAATAGAAAGCTCCAAATTTTTAATTTTAATGAGTGAATTACAAAATATTATTAAGCCAATAAAATGTACTACTATTCAATGAAGAAGAGAAGTAATAATATGCACAAGCAATAGTGGAATTTCACAATTTCCAGAATTTTGGCTTTTCCTTTTTCTTTTTTTTTATTACTTAGATTGCATTTTTTTTTCTTTTAAATCACAAAATATCACAATTAAATATTATTTAAATAAAAATACAAATTAATAATTATTTTAAATTAATTGCAAACCACTCCCAAAATATCAAATCAAACACCTTTTTTTCATTTTTTATATTATACTAAAAATCAATTTTGCATTAAAACATCACATCAGAATTTTTACTATTCAAATCCTAATTCAAAATCCAAAACTCTAAACAAACACACCCGAAATGTTTAATGCTATTTTTTTAAAAATATAAATATATATATTCGAAATATCTTTTCGAAAATTTTATTATTAATCAATTGGATTAAAACTTTCCAAAAATATACATATCACTAAAATCTTAGTTTTGTTTTAGTAGAAATATATATTTTAATATTTTTAAGTTGAAAATAATCATTAAAGATAATGTTTTATATATGTATATATAACAAAAATAAAAACATATTGTCCATCAATCACACTCAGTCCCAACTAACATCATGACTTACAACATAGCAATTGATAATGAACCAAAAACTCCTCTGCACTAAATGAGATATTAAACATTTACGTTGACTTTTGAAATTGCATTTAAATCAGATCCCACTCAACATCACTATCTCAATTGCCTGTTTTGTTTGTAGATTTTTATTTTTAATTGTAAAAATTTAAGTTTTAATAGTTATTTAATGCGCTATCAATATATATTGATATAATTATTTGAATGTAATAATTAATTCTTAGTATAATATAAAAAAATATATATATTTGATTGGTTACTTTTTAATAATAATAAATAAATAAAATTGAATAAATAAAAATTTAGTAAAAATTCACAGAAGAAACCTGTGTCTAAGATAATATAGACACTAGAATTTAAAGAAAAAAATCTGATTGGTAAATATTAAAAATCTAGTACTAAACTTAATTACAATATAATATAAACAATTATAAATTAAGTTAATTAATTAATCTAATTAAAATTAAATATAAATTTTAAAATATGATTAAAATATATAATGAAAAAAAAAAAAAAAAACCAACATAAAATATAAAACAAACAGAGAAATAGAGAATGTGACACTATATTGTATGTCTATTTACAATATACAATCCTTTGAAATAAACCAAACCTTGAGACTAGAATTTATGAACCAGAACCAAAATATACACAGGGGAATATATTTTTGCATCTGTATACGTAAATGTAATGTGTATTTTTGTATGTATTCAACAATGTAGCACAACATTCTAATGGAAGAGAAGAGACATACACTAGATGGGATGTTGAATGTGTCGTCTCATGTAGGTCGAATTCTACCACCTCTACCTTTCTCATGCCGCAGCCGTCGAGCAGCTTCTTGGATCCGGCGATCATGCTCTTTGAGCACCTGCTCGATATTTCTTGACGGGGCAAGTAAGGGACCCGAAAAATGGGGCTGTCTCTCTTTGAGGGCATGACCATTCTGATCAGAAGAAAGGTTTGATACAATGTAGGATCAAAATATGTTAGCTAGCGCACAATACAATGAAAAATCGAGAGAATTCTTGCAGTAAAAACGATAATATTCAAGAAGGGCAGTTGTTACAATGCGACTATTCAGAGCTGTCACATAACACATGAGTTATATAGTAAATAAACCATCAGCAAGTGACAATAATCCATATTAATCTCGGCATATGAGAGATATGTTAATACTACATAAAATTTGTCTGCCTATCTTCTAGAAAGCCATCGCCAAGTAATGTTTTCTTCAAAGAATTCCAAAATAAATTTGTCTCAGACTCACCACACATCCCAAAAATAGGTGCTGATTTGATTAAAAAAACACCCTTAGGTATGAGCACAATTTAGAATATAATGGCGTAAAATATTGTCCAATTTTTCCAATACCATGAATCAAATAATTTTCTGTGGTGAAACAAAACATCTCTCGTCTCCCCCTCGAATAGATTGTGTTGACATCTAATAGTTTCAGTAAGGCATGAAAGAGATTCGAGGCTCATCGTTGCACATAAAACCAAAGTAGAGAAAACATATTAAGAATGCATGTGTTTCAGGAAACTTACCACAATGGGTTCTTTCATATTATTTCTTCCAGTTTCAGGCTTTTCCAAACCAGAAATTAGTGACTTGTTTCCTATGTCCTGCCTTCCCATGGTATTCCGAAAAGTCTCTGAAAAGCGACCTACTTGATTTGAAGCTTCTGCATTTGAAGAAACAAATTTGCGCTGGGACTCCACAGATGATAAAACCCTTGAGGACACCAGGCCTGGTTGTGAATATAAACTGCTTCTTGTCGAACCAATGGAAATATCATCGTATTTCCTGCCCGACAAATCTAAACCGACCCCTGGAGCTAGAGGACCTGAATGGGAAATTCTCACTGGGGGGTTATGCATGTAATCTTTGTACATTTCTTTCAAGTTGTGTGTAATCCTCTGTGAATCATTGAGAATACCCGAAGCCATCCCCTCCTTTCGCGTGTTATATGATTCGTGTCCATCCTTTGGATTTGCATACCCATTCTTCCTCTGTCACATTAACCAAACTTGTAAACGACATCATTTTGGTATGTGCCTCTATAACAACGAAAGGTAACAATTGTTCTCAATACAAGGCGACCTAAGACAATAGTAGCTTTCTAGTTGATATACTCAAGTTTGTTTATTCTATTACTCGTTGTTTGGAGTTCAATTATGCACAAAACATAATAGAGAGTTAATATGTCTACAATCAGCGGATTAAAACCATTTATTATTAAGCGTTAACATTTATACATAAGAAGATACAATTTATATAACTCAATACCTGAATGCAAAAGAAACACATACACATCTTACTACAAACCTTGAGTATAATAGAACTATTTCATATAAAATCTAGTAGGTTATCAATAAATGACAATAGAAGAAACAGTCCCAACAAGAAATTTCTAGAAAGACCTATTCAATTTCAAAAAGAGGATCGAGAAACCATTTTCAGTATGAAAAATAATTCTCTGGGTATGCCTCATTCCCGCATGCATTAAATCCTTCATCATAATATGGGAGATTTTTGTACTTTTTACTACCAATGGCAAGGCAATGAAATGGAGATTCTTACACACGATGCTCAAAGACGGTAGCAAACCTAACTAACCACCATGATGACTTCTGAAAGTTTGTGGGCAATGAAATCATGCCAAACAGAAAACTCAATCTACAGTGATCTTAATTACCCAGTTCCGAAAAACCAGGCAGAAATACTCCTTTGCTCATTAGAGCTTGACATACTTTACATAGACAACTGTTCAGGACATTATATCATATATAAAGAATACTTATGTTTAATTTGAGAGAATAGAAACTATTGATAAAAATTGACCATTGGATAAAAGACCATGAACAGAATGGGAATATAACTTGAGGAATTGGTTACTTAAAATTAAAAATCAAAACATATTAATTTTGGAAGCCAAGGGATGATATTGATCTGGAAGAAATTTGCACTGGCAGAAATTATGAATCCAACTAATAACCGAACACTACAGGTTTCATTGGTACTTGAAGGAGCTAACAAAATAGGATAGCACATCCTAGAAGATCAAGTAAAGTCTTCGATAAGATGCTAATGAAAGAAAGACAAGGCTCACATAGGCTATAATGATATACCATGTACCAGTTCATATATTAAAGTTTTGGCGTTTCAAATTAGAGTAGATTCAAAATTTTAAGGCAAAATAAGCAATTTCAAGAGTATCTTTGAGTGTTCTTCAAGATTAAACCATGTAACGCCACATTACAAGTATTGTTGAAGTAAGTATTGAAGCAATCTTACATGTGACTTCATGGACTTCGTTAAGTCAGCATAAGCATCAGGTGCATAAGCAGCCCGCATTTGTTTAGATCTTTTTGAAATATTGTCACCCTTCTGTCCTTTACTTTCTTGCCTGTAATATCGGTACAATAATACTGTCAAAAAAGACTACAAAACAAGAAGTTATTTGAAACCTTCAGCAATATCCCCACAAAATATTCACGAACAAATGCAATTGCCAAGCTAATACGGTTACATGATCATATCAAGTAGTTGGCATTTTTTTTTTTTCTTTCCTTTTAAGTGTGCACCTATAAAAGCATAGGTTACAAGGTGTTCATTTCAAATTTGAAATATATAAAAGTGAAGTATTATAAAGCAACACAAAAATTGGAAACTCATAAATACGTTTCTAAAAGAAAAGATAAAAGCTCTAAGTACGCACCTCCTTCCTTCCTCTTCTCGCAATTTTGCATCTATCTCTTTGCTTGGAGGATACTTGGGCAAACTTGATGGATCGCAAGCAAGTGGTTTTGTTTTGAAGAACTATAAAAAAGATTATGAATAACTTTTACATACTGTTCTCCAATGGATGTGGATAGATGATCTTAAGCAAAATAATTTCTGAATTTCTATATAAACAAATACTGAAAACAAGCAAAGGGAACAATGAAACTCACCTCTAGCAGATGCACAAACAGTTATTTAGTTTTATATTTATAACCTAAGATATAGTTAGTATCACTGATCATTAAGCAGTATAAATGTACAAACAAATGCCTTCATTCATAATTCAAATGAAATGAATTATTGAATACGAGCTTCCTACTCTGCTTTGTCACGCCAAGTAAATCATACATGTTATCTGTACTCTGCATATAGAATTTTTCTTGAATAAACTACAGGCAAGAAGGATTTTAGAAGGAGCATTTTAGAATACGCAGTGGAATCACAGAACCGATTGCATTTTTATCCATCATTTCAATTTGAGAGAAAACAAACTCACCTCACTCTTAAGAGCACTAGATGCAGTTCCCCTATCTAAAGGATCAATTGCAAGTAAGATCTCCAAGAGTCCAACAGCAGCAACAGGAAGATCCTTAAAAGTTTCAGAAATTCGTCGTCTGTACGACTGAAAAGGCTTAAATACTGGTGTATGAGGTAACTTCGACCTCCGCCAATAATCCTCAGAGGGAGATCCACAGAGCTTGAATATTTTATGCAACTGCTCAACCTATGTAAGGAAAAAGATAATGTCATGGATTCCAGTGTCATGAAAGATATTGAGAAAATTAACATTGAAGTTCATTTAGAGAATTAATCCCCGACAACTACAACCAAAAAACTGCAACTATTACTGGCCTTAGGTAATGTTTTTAAAGTCCATTTAGGCAAATGTAATGTAGAAATTAAAAAAACATGACCAAGCTACTTCCCTACAAGGTGAGAACAAATTCTGAAAAAGAAAGAAATTCAGACTCTGACAATCAAATTGAACTTTCCATGTACTGATGCATTAAATATATCAAACAAATCACATAATGGAAGTGGGTACAAATAATACCTCAGTTCTTCCGGGCATGATTGGTTTGCTAGTATATAATTCTCCAAGAATGCAGCCGGCACTCCACAAGTCCACTGCCACTCCATACTGAGTTGCACCGAGCAGCAGTTCAGGAGGCCGATACCATAAAGTCACAACACGACTTGTTAGTGGAACTTTCTGGTTGTTGTCAAAATAACTTGCTAATCCAAAATCTGCAATCTTCAAGATACCGTGATCGTCAACTAATAGATTGGAACCCTTAATATCTCGATGTAGGACACCATGAGCATGACAATGATCAAGTCCACTCAGTAATTGTTGCATATAACACTTCACCTGAAAGATGCAATACAGTGATACAGAAGGCTATGCATTAAGTTTGTGCTGCTCGTTATTTAGGAATAACTTTAAAAGAACAACTAAAAGAATTCAGCAAAGCATACCTGTGGCTCTGTAAACTTGATGCCAGGAAGTGATGCAAGTCCAGTAAGATCATGTTCCATATATTCGAAGACAAGATACAAACTCGTAGATGTTTTTGAAGTCACTAGCCCTTCTAGTTTAATAATATTTGGGTGATCAAGACGTCTCAAAATAAGGATCTCCCTTGCCATAAACTTGACACTTTCGGGATCCAAATTATCAAAACGTACTTTTTTCAGAGCAACAGATTTATTGTGCAGAAGATCACGACCCTTATACACACTGCTGTAAGTTCCTTGTCCAATCTGCAATAACAACTGGCATCAATAGTGAACCAAAACAAATACAATAAGGATATACACACACTCAGTTAAACATCTTTAGCCTTTAAAAGAATAATGTCTGAGAACTTCAAAGAAGCTCAAAGTAAAACATTGTTCACTGATTTTTCTCTCTTTTAAGGGTACATACTACTGTTCTGATTCAAATAGTTCCAAGATTACGAAAGACTAATTAACTATCTTACACCTAATTCTCGCTAATTAATGGTGAATTCCTTTAACAACAAGCTTTAACACATTCAACATATGTTATGCAATAACTGAAGAATCCAGATTTCCTACAAAACATTCAAGAAGCAAGATCAATAAAACTACCTTATCAAGTTTTTCAAAAGTATCGGCTTTCCGTGGAATCCATCCCCTGATAGCTTCCCCCCCAACTGCAACTAGCCACGACGGCCAACCCGCCGCAATCTGTTCTCCTTCTACAGCTCTGGGGAGCCTCCTAATTTCTGGAAAATTACTCAAACCTTCAGAACTCTCCACTTCCTTATCACAATAGTCATCCCACACCCTTCTAGACCCATTAACTTTCTTATCATGTTTTACACCCTCATTTTCCAACCTCTCCTTCAAAGCAAAACTCTGAACCCTTCTGGAAGAGATCGATTGAGCCAGGCGCAATTCAGACGTCCTCCTCAACAATTCTCTCTGCTTTGCACATTCCTCACCATTTTTAACTGCTGAAGAAGGTTTCCCACACACACAGCCCATAATTTCCCCAATTTATTCGCCCAGCAGCGAACAAATCCAGCCAATCCTCTACACTTTCAACTAACCACACCACAGCAATTTCCACATAAAACAATCATGATTTTCCACAACACCCGCCATCACTAGTTCATTCCAATCAAACACATATGCATACATATACATACAAACACCATAATCCAGTAAACTACACAGAACTCAATAAAATAAATGCAACCCTAAATTTCCCCAATCAAACGGTCAAAAACGATCAAACAAGAAAGTAAAACCCAATAAAGCGCTTCTAAGAATGAATTCGTTCATGCACAGATAAGATGCAGACTTTTCGGCAGATGAATCAAAAAATTAAAACACCAAAAATAGCCCGGACGGCAAAAGGGTGAATCACAAGTCAGAAGAGGAACAAATGATGATTGACGAATTCTCCCATGAGATTAAAGACAAGACCTGGTCGTCAAGAAAAATTCGTTAAGCTGTACTCAATTTATATTTTTTGACTGTTCAACGCGCTTATAGTCTTATTCCATTTAATGAACAATAAATCTATATATATATTGATATTCTTACTTGCATGGTTATCCGTATACTTCTTTCAAATTTTTGTATTTTATAATTACTAATTATTTTATTTTATTTTATTTTTAAAAAATTTCAAAACTTTAAAAGCGTTCCAATACATAAACACGCCTTAAGATTAGTTGTAATATTTTATATCAGTTTAAATATTCTATATATGTGAAAAAAATATTAAATACGACTTGAATTATTTTACTTGAATAATAATATGATTTCGTTTTTTTAGGGTAAAAAAATAAAAAAATGAAAAGGCAAGAAAATATATTGTTTAGCGTAGTCAATAAAAATACAAAGCCAAATGGGGTTTTACGTAAATATTTCAAAATAAAAATTTAGACGGTCCACTCAATGAATTATTAATAAATAATATAATCATAAGTTTACTTTGCCTCGAAAATAACATAAATACATACGTATAAATAGTATAATAAATTCCATAAAATAAGTAAGTCAACAATTTCCATAAATGACTCACTAAACCCGTTATACTTATACATAAAAAAATAATAATAATAATAATAAATAAATAAAAAATTCAAGGGACCAATACACTTAAGTATTGTCTAACAAATAATTAAGGTTTCTTGTTTTAGTTTTAATGATTTATTGGAATGGTTATTGAGAATTATAAAAATAGTCTGAAATGATTTTTATAATATTTTTTTATAAATAATATATTTTTATTAACAAGTATTATAAAGAATAGCATTTAAGTAAAGAATAGAATAGAATTTAGACTAGTATTTATTGTACATTCTTCCAAATATAAAGAAAACAAATTGCTCCATTTAGAGGTGCTCTTATTTTGCATGAAGAGTAATTTTGTACGATATAATATGGTTATATTATATACTATCATAACATATTTATATATAATATATGTGATGTTATTATTCAATATACGACATCTTATAAAATTCTATATCAAACTAAATAATCAATAGTAAAAGAAAAAAAAAACAAATAAAGAACTTAGAATGATTATTTTATGTAACTTTTTAATGAAATTCTAAATTTTTAGTATATACTATTAAAAAGTAAAATATAAAAATTTAAATTAATAGTTGTTTTAAGGATAAAAATGAATAAATAGTAAAAGTCGAATTGAAAATTGAACAAAGAGGGCCAAGGTGTGTTTGGGTGTAGATTTGGGGTTCAGTTTTGGGCTACAATTATGGGCTTGCTTAGTGTATTGTTTTAGAATGCAAAAATTGGGGTTTTTATGGATCAGACTTGGACTGTAATTTGAATTTGCTTGGATCATATTATTATTACTATTATTATTGTTAGAAGTTTTGGTCGTTTGAGACTTAACCCGACAAGTCACTCGATAAAAGAATAGTTAGCCCATTTCGTAGCATGGTCCACCGGATCGGCTCAATCCAATTACCTTTACCCAAGCCCTAAGCCCTAAGCCCAAACAATTATTATTATTATTATTATTATTATTATTATTAAAGTTGAATGATGTGTTTTGTGGTTGTATTATTTATTTGTATGATAATTTGATATAATATTTTTTCTAGAAAACTAGATAAGATGGGATACATACTAAACTAGATTCTTTTATTATTATTATTATTATTATTATTATTATTATTATTCATGAATATTATATTTTCTCTATAAAAAATATATCATATTCATCTCAAAGAAAAATTGGTATTGATATATAGATATAGTTGAACTCTCATAAATTTAATATATCAAGTTAGCGAACAATCATTGAAAGAATATTAATAATAAAACAATGGTTATAGTCACCGCGCTGATATAATAATATATCAGGCATCATCGTCAAATTTTCAAAAAGTATCGTTTAATTAATAGTTCATATAGTACCGATTAAGAGTTCAAATAGCATAACAATATCTACACTAATATTGATGCTATCTGGACATCAAATCTTTGTTTTTTGGGAAAATCAACACGATATTAATTTTTCCAAATCAACATAGCTAGTAACGAAATCCTAATAATGATATTGAAAATAAATAAAATTTAAAATATACAATTAAATAATGTATAGTAATTAAAACCGTAATTAATACAACAATTGATATCGGACAATTATTTTTCATATTAAAATGTATCAAAATATAGAATCAAAACACAATTAAAACACCGGTAAACACTCTCTAATTTACTATACATATGTATATATACTCCATCTGTCCTTTAACAATCTATTTATTTTTTCATTTTGGTCCGTCCCATAATAAAGTATCCATATTTTTTTTTAAGTAATTGCATCATCTACCTAACATTATAAATACCCTTCCAATTTACAATATATTACACAAATGTCATTATCTCTATATCATACAATACTAATAGGGGTAATTTAGTCTTTTTATCTTTATTTCTACTTTATCCCACAGATTGGAGTATTTTTAAAATTTCATATACTATATAATAAATGTAATTTTGCATTTTTTAAAAAAATATGTAAAAGTATACTGCAAATAATTATCTATGGATCCCCACAATTGAACTTTTGTCTGTGAAATGCACACAAACACACACACATATATACATATATATATATATATATATATATGATGCTATCACTATGCATGGTATTATGAGGATGGGCTGGTGATGGAATTAAAAAGCATGAATGGTGCGGTGGGGTGGGGTGGGGGGGTGGAATATGGTTGGGGGACCTCCACCCTCCATTGAAGCTAGCCATACTTGAGCTTCAGCATGGGCAAATCATAATCATAATATACATATATATATATATATGTATGTATAAATGTTTGTTTGTTACATGACACCCCACAAATGGACAGGGACTTGTGGGTTGGGGTTGGGGGGGTAGGGGGTACCTAACCCCACATGGACATGGTGAATGATCGTATCTATATATATTATCTATATCTGTATCTATATCTATATCTACTCGCCTGCTGCAATGGATAATTTGTTTGTTAGATAATAGAGATAATACATAGATGGCATCTGCCCTTCTGCCTTAATCCAGAATTTCGTTTAGACAAAGGTTTTTGAAATTTTAAATTTTTTTAAAAATAATAAAAGAATTTTATACCTGATATAATACTTATAAAAAAAATTATTATTTTAAAAAAAAAATTAGTGTTAATCAATAAATTGTATTAAAATAAAATAAAATAAAAAAGATGTATGTAAAGAAGTAAGTATTTGGTTTTATACCTAACCTAAGTGGTAATGAAATAAATTGAATTCCCCTCCTAGGAAACACACCTACTCCTTTCAACACATTAGGGTTTTGTATTCTGCACTTCACTGACCGTACACTTGGAACTCCATTATTATCTTCCACACACACATATGTATGTATGTATATATATATATATATATTATATTAGTCACAAGAATTTTAATGAGACAGAATTATTTGCTTCTATTTACGTAGATACTATTTAAATTTTGGACAATATTTATCAATAGTATTTTTTTTTAATATATATATATATATGTCAAGTTCAATAGGTCTTTTTTTTTTTTTAACAAAAAATCATCATATTAAATACTCAACATAAATTTTTACTATTTTAAATTATCTTTTTTCAAAACTTCACACCCCTCTTCGTAATCAAAGCTTTTAATTTTTTATATATATTTATTTTTTATACTACTTAAACTATTTGGATTCACTAAAGTATGGTGAGATAATTTTATTTTATTTTTTTTTTAAAAGAAAATCTTTTATTTATTTATTTATTTATTGTTGTTTGAAGTTGCTAGTCATCAAGTACCTACTAAATAAATTGAAATCATCAAAGGAAATGCAATATTTATCTAATTATATATAGAAATATTTGTCTTGTTAAAGAATATTTATAGTGATATGTTTTTATATTTCATCAAGAGATGTCTAGGGAAAATATGATGTAGAATCATAAAATATAATTATTTTTATATTATCAATATAATTTTTTATAATAAATATTAAAAATTATCTCAAACTAAAATACTAGATGAACACAATCATTGATTATATATGAACAATATACAAGGATAGTACATATTTAATCATATCAAATATGATAACAAAACATATATTTGTATATATAATTTAAAATTTAACTATATATATATATATATTAATATGATTTTAGAAAATAGTACATATAATACTTATATAAATTCATGGCATTTTTTTCTTTACTCAACAAAATGTTCTATTTTAAATGACATTGTTTAATATTGAAGTAAATAAAAATAAAAAATCAAACAAATATTTTTTTTTAATATTATACATAAAAAAATCACATCAAACACTAATGTATCTTCATACATCTACGTGTTACCATTTCACAAGCATTATTTAAAATAATATATATATATATACATTAATTTTAAAAAAATAAAAAAAAAATCCTTACATAATATCAATAGTTAGATGAGTTTTTCTGTCTTGGCATTCTTCACACGTACACATATTCATATAATGCATTCGATCAATATAGATACAGCTATATATGTAAATATACAATAAACAAGTATATCTTGAATACATTGTATATATACATATAAGTTTATACACATCGATGTAGATATATCTATAATTTTAATTTAATTAATTTTTATTTTCTATATATAAATTAATTAAATGAAGTAAACCTTGTTAATTAATCATTGTCATCTCTAGTTAATCCAATATTTTATTGTTATTTTATTGATTTCACATTATTTATTATATATTCCCTCTTCTCTCGGGTATCATGGACTTTTAGCATGTTGATTTTTGAATATTAATTATTATTTTAATATATAATACAAATCAAAAGAAAGTGACAAAAATATCTCTGTTAGTCTCTTATAATATAAATACAATGACGTTTGTGGAGTAAATTATACAAATATAAAAATATTTTTAATGTTAAATAGAAGGATGTAGTATATTGTTTAATTCTCC